AATTTTGCAAGAAATAAATTTCTGCCCAGGTGGATAAAATCCACTAAAATGTTATTTAAATACAAATGGGAATCCAAATTTCTAATTTTACTCATGTTGAATTTGTATAATAAAAAACCCATTTCTCATACCATAAGGGTTTTTTCCTTACAAGATTGCTAAACTTATACTTAAATAAGGAATTTAGGTAAAGTTATTGATGAAGGCTTGTTGTTACTTAAAATTTCACCGTATACATGGAAATTCAAAAACAGTCTCAGACTAAAAACAAATGAAATAGGTAACTATGAACTTTTGAGATGTACATAAAAAGAAGGCAAAAAGATCTAAGCATTATTTCAACAAATGGAACTGAATATGAAAAAGATCAGGAATAAAGAAAAAGAATAGGAATAAAGCCAGGAATAATCAGGGGGAGCGGGGAGAGGAGAAAAACATTTATTTATGAATGAGATAGCCAGAAATGTTCCTTTCATCACATTAACTATTTTCCTTATTGTATGAGAACTGATCTAATACACTTAATGAATCAAGAAGAAAGGAACATTTTCAAAAATCCGAGCATCAACACATCAACAGCTTGGTTGTTCACAGGTATGTGTTTAAAATCCCCAACACATTCCCCTATCCCAAACAGAACAGAGATTTGTGGTAGTACAGAAGATTCAGATCATGAAAATATACTATTTACTGCAACAACAAGTTTTCAAATTCAATTCTTATTGTATATATGAAATAGATCCCTCTCCCTAATTTATTAAAAGCAGTTTCTCTTACACATGGAATTCTGTGGTTGTCTGCCTAAATTATTCAATTGAATATTTAAATATTGATATAAAATAAATCAGTATGTTATTTTCTTTTAAAGAAACAATTTAAGTCCAATTACTCAGTATGGATATGGAATGTACTTCCATATAATTTTATGTCCTTTAGTTCCCAACTATCTCCCTTATGTGGAATTGATGCAGCCCTGCCAAACCTCAGTTCCCGAGGAGCAGCTGTTTTGGTGGGTCTGCACCAAAGGCTCTGAGGAGAGAACATGGGAATCAAAAGACTATAGTTAAATGCTACATACAGGCTTCTGAACTTAACAATAAATGTTATTCTCTCAGAGTACACAGACTGAAATTGCCACAGCCATTCAACGTGAATATGTTCCGTAACTGTGAAAAATCTCAGTAGACTTTTATGGTAATAACAGACGTATGCCATCTGCCCAGGTTTATGGCTCAGAAGATGTTCAACTGCTACCGTCTTATTTCAAGGAAAGTTCCTCTTACAAACCTCTATGAGAAAGCAATATTAAATAATCATATATAAAGTAAAATAATATAGACGAATACCATGTTTTGATTACCCGGTAAAAACACAAATATCTAAGTGTTGAGTCTGTAGTCTTTTTTTCTAGTTATTTATTTATTACTGAAATAAAAGCCATTTTATGTAATGGTTGTTATTGGATTCTAACTATGGAGGCCCAGGATCAAATACAAACTCATCCAATGAAATTAATTGGATGACTTTAGGTCAGTCACTCTATATTCCAATAGAAGGGTTATTGCAAAAAAGGGGGAGAAAATTCTATGTATAGCATCCTGAGTTCCTAGAGAAAGGAGTGGAATGTATAATAGTACAACTAAATAAAAATGACAATACCTCTTTATACACTGGGTTATACTACATGAATTATTTCTTAAATTTTTGGTCTTTTTTGGCACATTTACTATTAAATAATATTCATGTTTCTCCATTATATTGTTATCCTACGAATCCCCTATTAATCATAAACTTGTAATGACAGTTTAAGACCTTAATCATTTCAAGATGGACCTCCAGTTTTTCATGTGTGATGGCTAAACACAGAAATGGTTTACATAAATATGTACAAACCTAAGCTAAATAAATCTGAGCACTAAAACAGAAAAAATAGTACTGGAACTGCTTTAGATTTACTTTAAAAATCTAAAACAGGTTGCAGATGAATGTTGGCTAAAATCAAAAGAAGACTACATAATCTTCTGAGCTCTTGCAAAAATGTGGCACATTTGTATCTTTCTCCTTATATGACAGTATTGTTGTTATTTAGAGCAAGATTTGACTATTTAGACCAAATTAAGTAATTTGAGGATATCAGTTACTTTTTATAAATTAAGACTTAATATTCCTTCAAGTAACACAGCAATTATTGTATTATGACTTCTATACTGTAGGCTAAAATGACATATTGTAACATAAATCTTAAACTTTTCATTAAACAGCCCAAATTCAAATCCTACCTTTTTGTGCACTCTGACATTTTTGCCTGGCATTTTCATTAATTTTGCAACATACATAAGTGTAACTGAAATGTTACCTGATCAATATTATGTCTCTTTCATGTAGCACTAGAGCACATTTCCCCAAAGACCACACAGCAATGCAGGAAATAAATGTGTAAAATATCAAATGTTAATGTTAACATAGCAATACTTAATGTATAACAACTGAAAAGGCTAAAACAATTCAAAATAGTCCAAAGTACCACAAATTATCCACAAACCTATTTACAGAGTAAAATCTGTCTGCAATAACTAATTCACTAATTTGTTTTGAAGTACCCCATTTTACTTAAATCTTAGATATCCAATTATTTTTCAGCCCATTATAGTAATACGATAGTGGAGGAAAAAGGTTGCATATACCCTTCATCTGCCCTAAAGCATTACACTTTCCAACTTCCACAAGTACAGAAATCTGTGGCGAAGAACTGAAGAGAATTAAACCCAAGTTGGAAGACATTTTGATACTACACTAGCAAAGACAATTCTTCTAATTTCTATGTACTAAGAAGTTGCCTTCATATATTAAATATACATAAAAGTATTTTGAATAATTGCATGTTAAAATTACGTAGAAGTAATTCATGTTTTAATTTAAATATGAACAAAAAAGCTAATATTTAAAAAATTCTGTTAGTTTTGTAAGCTGAATGCTTAGTTATGATCAATATAGTATTTGGGAGAACAATACCTATTGGAGGAAAAACTATATCATTTGTTTCTATACTATTTAAATCCTAAACTTTGGAACATGTTATTTGAACCTAACACTTCACAGTTGGAACAAACCAAAATCCAGCAGAAAATTCCCATTAGAGGAAGTTAAGTAATAAAATCTCTCTTGAGTGGACATTGACTACATGAATATATCCAGGTTGTGTTCCAGAAAACTGTATGGAAGTGATTTATCATTTCCTTTTTTCAGGACATTTGACTTTTCAGTCTAGACTGTAATCCTATAATTTTGTGTTTTCTCTCTTTCCAAGTTTTAATCAGGTCTGATATTTAGTTGTTGAGAATGGCTAGGTGCTGGCACCTGCTGTGACTTGAGAAATATGTTATTTGTTAATTCTCTCTTCTCAAGTAGCTGTAAGAATTTAAAAAATGGGATTCCACTTTGCACAACTTTGCTTTTATCCGTGTTGCTCATTTACTCTCCAGTTAGAACCATTAAAATCTTACTATTTCAAAAGTATTTTAAACAGTTTACATTTTGCAGAACAGTGGATGTAGGTTGCAATTCTAAAATCAGTAAATATGCTCAGATATATATTTGTTACTGAAAATGAGTCATAATAAAAAGCTATCCACTACTGTGGCTCTTTGACAGTAGAATAAGTTATTAAAATCTACTTTATGACAAGTCAATCATAAAAATATTGACTATAAGCACACACGCATTAGCTGCCTTACATCAAAAGGCCTTGAAAACATTCAGATGCTACCTACAAGGTATCAACATAAAGATAATGTTACATGAAGATCATGCCATAATATTATTTAAAAATGTTAAGGTTCTGTGTGTTGATTCCTTTTTAAAACCTGTTACTCTTTGCACTACCTTGACCAATGTAGGATCTCCAAGTGAGAATCAATGCAAACCAAATGACTTAAGGTAAATATAAAAAAATATATTTATATATGTGTGTGTATTAGTTATATTCCACAACAATAAAAGGTTATTTAAAACACAGATGATGGCAATAGCCTGGTCACAGTATATCAGCAACTTGTACTGAGAAGAATGCAACCTCTAACTGTGATAATATAAAGCTATTACAAATATTGGGTTCTCCATAAAATGGTCTTATTCTTTTATACTACAAGGTATTTATTTCGATCTATGGGAACAGTTAAGCTTCTACCTCTATATAATCTCTTATATCACCCTAAAAGTTTTTGAATTTGAAAAACCACATGAATAAGTTCCATAGCAATATTTCAGCTCTTCCAAATAGGAAACGTACCCCTCCTGTATGATTCCTTGAGTTAAACAGTTGTCTGAACACCAATTTCAGTTGCTTGTACTTATTAATATAATAGTGCATTATAAGAAATCTAGAAAACAACCTCTATATATAGCACCTCCAATATTAGTATCATTCATTGTATAAACAGTTGTAGACACCTACCTACACAGCAAAAAAACTCTTTTACCAGGAAAACTATACACATTAAGATTATGAAGCAAGAAAACAATATTACAGTTTGTCTTTGATGACCAGGAATCTAATTCATCAGGAATGACATAATAAAGATTCCAGTGACTGCATTAAACTTCCTAACCCTCATAAGTAAATCATTTTTCAAGAGATCAGTAATTCAATGTGCACATCAATTCTAAAACTACTGACTTGTCCATTATTATTGCTTTCTTACTGAATAGTTGATAACAATGTGTTCCAAGTGTGAGACTATTAAGTATTATCTGTGTCTGCACATTCAGTGTTGGCTTATTGTGAACAAGTAACCTGCTGATGCATCCTACTTGACTGCTCCTGGTTTGCTTCTCCTGCCAGCAGAAGTGATTAAGTAAACCTCAGAAAATTCTTCTACAATTGGTTTAGCCATTCCCACTGACCTTAGGAACAAATGGGAATTGTTAAGCTTGTGTGCAAAATTAATAATTGTTTTCCATTAAACATGCCAAATATGATGAATAAATTAAAAATATCATACCACAAAAGCAGCCAAACTTCTTGGTGGTGACTCCCACTCAAAGCAACCATTTATAAAATAGGCAGCATTTATAATGACCATGATGCAATGTTTCACACGCATAAAGTTCCTTAGAAGAAGCTAGAGGTGGGAAACAGATAATGTGTTAGCTTCTTTTGTGCTGTTGAATATATTCTGTGTTCACATTTTATCCTAAAAGGATACACTATATAAAGTAAAAGTGCTATTATTGAAGAATAAAAAAAGGAACTGTCAATAGGTATCCACAGGTTTATCGGTAATTGCAAAATATAAAAGGCTGTACCATTCCACTGTGCAGCACAATAGAAGAAATTACAATGCTGCTGTACTTACTAAGCTTTCATTCTGAATATGTAACTGTGCTCCAGGCACTGAGTTTCAAAGATTTACTATATTAATCCAGATTTTTTAAACAAAATTTTATACTAGCTATATGAAATGACATATGCAGTAATTCACAGGCAATTTTACTTGTTTTTCCATTTAAGATGTGACAAAACATTGCAAGGACAAGAAGAACCAGGCATTTCTTTTTAAAACCTGTGAAGATCTTTTCAGCAGCATTTGGAAAAATATTACCTTGAACTTATTCATAAAATTCACTGGAAAGAGCTTGCTAACTTGTTGCATTTTAAAGTATAATACTGTATCTGTTTTTATTTAAAACACGATTTCTCTAATGAGATATTTTAAGTTCAAACTATGCGATAAAGATTATCTACCCACTGTCTGCAAATGTGCCCACTAATTTCTAAAAAAACTGGGAGGACTGTACTGAAAGTATTTTGTTTTGTGTATTACAAAAGAGTATTTGCTTGTTTTATGATTATGTAAATATTATCTGATTGATGATAAAAAAAAAATCCTTACTAAAAGTAACTCTGTATTTTAAGTAAGAAGTATACAAACACTATTCAGTTTATAAATCAGTTCTGGAAAAGCAGATTGATTTAGAGACTATTTAGGTACAATAATTGTAATCATACAAAATATAGAATAAATTTGGTTGTAGTATTATTTTAGCCAATTCTTCAACACAAGGAACATTTTAAATTTGTCATTGTTCATAAGTAAATATTTCAGCTAGTAGAAGCAAACACACTCAGAAAAAAATATGTGTCAGTCTTTGAAGAGTCAAATAAAAGTTTGTTGCCTTAATTAAGATTCTAATAAGCACCACAGCATTGGAACTAGGAGAACAAAAGACTGATAGATTCTCTAATCCACAATAATATGAAAGTTCCTGTAGGTCAAATTAGCCACAAAATGTATGGTAGACTAAGTTTACAGCCACCTGTGCCATAACCCGATACAGGGGAAAACTGATGACTTTATTGTAGTTCTCATGACACTTTTCTAAAGCTCAGTTGTTGCTGGGAGTGGGGCATGTGTCTGTGTGTGTGAGTCTGTGTGTGCGTGTGTGTGTGTGTGTGTGTGTGTGTGTGTGTGTGTGTGTGTGTGTG